TCTTATCTGGCCTGCAGCCAATCTGAAGGGTCTTATAGGTTGCTGCCACCGTCGATTCGAGTCTGAGCCCCACCTCCCGACGCAACGAAGCAGAGCTCGAATCGACTCAGTCCTCACGCAAGGCTGCGTAAAAAGCGCTCGCCAGAAGATGTGCTCGAGCAGGATTCTACCCTCCTCCAATCCACCTAATCTTCCGTTCATTCGGTGCTAGACTGATCTGATTGATGGCCACCTTGACCCTTTGGTCAAGTGTCATCTTTCAACTCATTTCCATTTCGCCTGAAAGTATGTGTGTTTTGTGTGTGTGTGTGATGAAAAGATTCAAAGGTCCATTCAACCGGCTTCCGGTTGGCCGAGAAGAACACACCTTTGAATATCGCATCACACACTCACACACACGCACACACTTTGGCTCGAACCCCAACTTTTATTCGCCAACGCCAAGTGCTTTCTTCGACAGTTTCTGTGGAGCCCGGGAGCAAGGATCAGGCTTGAATCGACGGCGCTCGGCAACGCCGTCTCGACGAGAGGCTCAAAGTGGCCCTTTGGTCTCGAAGTAGACGACTGCTCGTTGGCATGCGGCACATCTGCTCTCACAACTTGACACCGTGTAGTCATGTGGGGCGGATGGAGCGACGCGTTCCTGGGACGGCTGGCACAGTCCATCAGCTGTCCGTTAGTGAAGATGTTCCTTTGTCTCCTCGTCCCAGGGGCACTTGAGCTCGGCGACAGACTCACTTAGCCCTTCGAAGGGTGCGCATACACCTCTCCTCGTCGCTGGGGCTCAAGTTGTCCAGCGATTGGCGGTTTACTTGACTCATCTGCCCTCGTTCCACGGCCTCAGGTGACTTCACCTGGTACAGGGGATCGTAGGGATTTCGTGTAATCACTTAAATTAGTTAATCTTTACACCTCGTCACACTCACTCAATTATCTATTCCATACGTGTTCCCTTTGCTTGTTTTCCCCCCTGAACACATCCTGACGGCATGGCAACTAAAAACTCGGTAACTCATTCCCAACCCTTCGCGCCCGCACAACATCTCTCTCTCCTTTTTTCCTTGTTTCCTCATGTTGCCGATACATGTGTGCTTGCCACGCTGGAGGACAAATGATCAAATTGTGTTTGAACGCATGCTTTTACGCCTAATTTCTTGTTTTAACTTATCTTCACTCTATCCTTCCTATTATTTGTGTCTGTCTCTGTGTTTGTTTGCCTGTACTCCGTTTGTATGCACATCTGCTTGTCTTTTTGCTTGTAAATTGGTATGCACGTGTGCATGCACAATTATACATGACTGCTATACTATCCACTTGTGCACCAATCTATCTATATACCTTTCTGACAATCCTTATATGGGTATGTATTTCTGTATGCCTGTTTGATTATGTGCCTGCCTTGGACATGATGGACAACTGGGTCTCCAAGTCCTCCTCTCTCTCTATCTACCGATCTTTCTATCGTGTGTGTATGCATGTACGTCTCTATCTTCGACCGTGAGAATGTGTCTTGATTCCTACTCATTTTACATGTGCCTTACTCGTCTGTCCGTGTGTATCTGCCCGTTTGCAAGGTGATGAGTAGGCTTGTTTGTCGCGCTTATTGGTCAGTTTTCCTCTCATTCTCGCCACCTTCACTGCCCCCTCTCTCTCCCCCTCCGGATCGGCCTCAGTCGTCGCTCTTCACAGGCACCACCACCCCTCTGTGCACTGCTCACCAATTTTAGAAGTTATTATCCAAGCCAGCTCTCCCCTTCGTCCACTCTCTACCCATTGAATGGGGAATAAGTAGTCACGCAACCGTCCAACCACCTAGGCATGCACACACATGCACACACAAACAAAGCATTTTCACACAAATGCCCACACTCTTTGCATTACAGGGCTTTCTCCACTCCCAGTTGAAGTCTTTCAGTGAAAAGTTGGGCAAAGTAATGCATGTAGGTAACTTGTTGCAAGCGTGAAATGGAGAGGCAGAAAGGGTAAGACTTTGGCCCGCAGGAGGTTCTTCTCTCGGGACAAATAGCCCCCATTCCTGAGGGTGTCAGCGCCAAACCTCGTCTGAGTAAACTGTAGCTTCGCATCACTTTGATCCACCTTCCTTGTCCGGGCTCGTGGCATCCTCCTCTTGCCTCCTCTTCATCCGCCTCGACGGCACACTCACCCCACTAGCCCGGCCCACCCGCACACGCGTCTACAGCATGCACCTTTCACTCAAATTGTCCTTTTCAGACATACATCTGCTTCTGTACTGTTGTCTTCTTGCCTCCATCCGTCACGTCTGCAACCAGAGGAGTGCTCTCTTTCTGTCCGTCTGAACGAGAGGGGTGGTCACTTGGAGTGTTTCGACTGGCGGGTTTTTTCTTTTTGGAAAAGTGTCGTTTAGACCGACTCGGAAACCACGATCGGGTTCCAGGCTTGCTCAGGTAAACACAATTCATGCTCAACTCTTGCATTTAACACATTCTGACCACCGACTAGATCGGTTGCATGCTCGACCAAGCCTAGAATTGGCTCACTCCTTCGTCCGGCCGAATGGTCCTGCCTCACCCGAACAGGTCACGCGGTCCTCCCGCGGTCGGACGACGTGGTTGCTTCCGCTTTCGTCTGGCGACGGTCGGAGGAGGTGAGCGAATTTGACAATCGGCCTCTTCGGAGTCGAGAGACGACAATTCGAGTCGTTCTGTCGCACAATCAACTTAATAGACCCGGGATGCCAGTGAAGTCGACCTCATCTCACCGAGATTCCACGTCAAGTCGTCAGTATCCCGGCGACTATCAGTCCTTTAATCACCCTAAGAGACCTAAGCCAAGTTCATATTCAAGCATGAATGATAATGTCGAAAAGTACACACACCCAAAATAAGTAGGTTTATCGACTGCAACGGCAGATACATGCTTGCAAATGCATCAACCAAATCACATGTACACATAGATAGCGAGTAAAAGGTATGAAACGCCCAGAGTAGTGATTTAACATGTGAATTGTAAAGTGCATTGCATGCAGCTCTGACGGGGCAGCCTCTCAGTAATAAATAGTATGATGAGTAGTAATTTTTCGTAGATTCGAAGAAAAACTGGGTTTCGATGAATCTCCTGAGATAACATTGTCAGAGGGACCTTCATTTCGTATGAAAGTGCAT